TTGGTGGGTGCCCTCCTTCCCTCTAGCTTGACTGCAGCTGTTTGAGCCATGTCTCTTCACCCAGAGACAGATCTCCTCACGGTGGGTGAGGACCATTTGGCCTCCATGGTGTCCCAGACTCTGGTGCAGCCTCTCTGCACTGCCAGGCAGGAGGTGATGGGACACTGTGCTAGTGACCAAAGCATCACCAGTCCATCGAGGTTCTGTTGCAGTGGGTGTCAGGAGAGTGTGAACTGAGGTGGGCACAGCAGCACTGCCAGCTCTGCTCAAAGGCTGAAGAAAGGGCTTCTCTTCCCCCCAGCTCTCCTGGCCCTTCTCTTCGACCTGAAGGCCCTGGTTGACACCATGTCCATTGGCACACTGCTGGCCTACTCCATGGTGGCTGGCTGTGTGCTGCTGCTCAGGTGAGACTGCTGGGGACAGGGGACAGGGCTCGCCCAGCTTCTGCTGTGAGCCATGCCTGGGACAAGGCAGGTGCAGGAAGGTGTGCATTGACACCCAGTGTCTGCTCCTCAGGTACCGGCCTGAGCCCAGCCCTCGGGACACGCCCGTGGGGAAGGTCCCAGCTGTGCAGCCATGGTGGAACCACCTGGTCCAGCCACCCCCCCATCCCACCCCTCACTCCTCTGCTCTGGTGGTCTGGGCTCTGACAGCTGCAGGTGTGTCTGGAACGATGGATGGGCTCTAAGGGAGCTGGCCTGGGGACCCCAGGGGGACATCCCTGCTGTAGCAAGGGCTGGCCTGGTGGAAACCACCCAGCAGCAGATGCAGGGGCTGCCTGGCTTCTTCCTGCCCTCACCCCACTGCCACACTGCTGGCTGCCCCAGTGGGACCTCAGGAAACCCCCCAGAGGAAGAGAAAAGCCAAACCCACCACGAGAAGTCACCCAGCAGTGTCCCCCAGTTGTCATTTGTCCCCCCTGGCAGCCTGGCAGAGGGATGGGCCAGCCCAGGGAAGCTGCCCTGACACTGTGGTCCCTCTGCAGCTGCCCTGGCCTGTGCCCTGGGCTGGGTGAGCACTGCTGGGCTGCCCTGCCTGCAGGCTGGGGGTGCCTGGTGCATCACAGCTCTGGCCCTGCCTCTCCTGGGGATCCTGGCAGCAGCTCTTCTCATCTGGAGGCAGCCTCAGAGCCAGGACAAGGCATCCTTCATGGTGAGCACCCAGCCCAGCCCTCGGGGTGCACCCAGGAGGAAGGACCTGGGGCACAGGCAGCAGGAGGTGCTGCAGCCCTGTGGGGAAAGGGCCTTTTGGGGCTGTTCCCTCAGCTGCAGCTCAGGCACATCTTTGCTGCACCCACATTAATAAGGCACTGCTGGAGGCAGCATGTCGCTTGTGGGGTTTTCCACTGGGGCATGAGGGTTCTTTTCCCCCATGACCTGAAGGAGCATCTCCCAGCTGAGGAACCAGGGCTGCTCGTTAGTAAAAAGATACCTGGCCTTAACACCTTGGCTTACTTTTATGAGTGCTTTGCTGCCTCTCACCTCAAATTCTGCCTCAGTGCAGGACCTGATAAGTAAAACACCCTCCACAAGCATCCCTCTCCAGCACTGCACTCCCAGCTTGGATCTCTGAGCCTCACAGCCAGGCTGGGCTTCCCCTTGCCCGTGGGACTAGCCAAAGCAGCAAAGAGCTGCATTTAGCCGTGGAATTTACCCTTGTGCTCCCTGCAGGTTCCCTGCCTGCCCTTCCTGCCTCTCCTCAGCATCTCCATCAACGCCGTGCTGCTGGCCCGGCTCAGCGCGGCCCCCTGGCTGCGGTACCTGCTCTGGATGGCTGCGGGTGAGCACGGCCACTCCCGAGGCCCCGGAGCTGGCACCCGCCCCTCTGGGTAGAGTGCTGGTGGTTTGAGAGCCCCCGGCGCTAATGCTGCTCTGAGCAGTGGTGGGGAGGGAGGAGATGCTGACCTTTGATGTCCAGCAGCGGTGGGAGCACCGTGTCCTCTGATATGTGGCCCAAAGGAGGGGGCCAGCACCACTTGGTGGCTGGGAGGGGAAGGAAGAAAAGCAGTCCATACACACCCTATTCTGCCCTTTCCCAGGTTTCCTCATTTACTTTGGCTATGGGATCTGGCACAGCACTGAGAGCCCCTGGCCTGAAGGGACAGGTCCCTGGGAGCTGCCCCAAAGCAGAGCCAGGGAGGTGGCCCTGGAGCCCCATGGGACTGCCCTGTGCCCACCTGCTCCAGGGCAATAAAAGGGCATGGCCAGTTCCTGAGTGCCTGGCTCCCTCCATCCTGTGCCCAGGGGGCAAGGAAGCCCCTTGGGCTGTGGGTCCTGTCCCACAGAGGGGGCCAGCCCTGCCAGAGCTGCAGGAGCTGCTTCCCTGACTCTGGTGAACCTCCCTGAGCAACCCAAATCCTCACAGTGAGCTCCTGCAGACAGAGTTCTGTTTGGAGAGGATAAAGCACTCAAGTGTTTTTGCTGCTGTTACTGGGCTGTGGTTTTGTGGTGTTTTTTCCTTTGAAATCTCCCTTGCCCACCCTGCTCCTTCAGCTGCTCACAATGAGGTGGAGAGGCTTCTTGTGCTGCCCTGAACTTCCATTTCACCTGGGCACCCAGCCTGAGCTGCTATCATCCCCCCCATGACTGCCAAGTACTGCCTGGTCCAGGCTTTCCCCCCTTCAGAGTGTGCAAGTCCTTTTCTGCACTCATTTATTCCTCCTCCTCCTCAGTTCCCAGTGTCCCCTTTCCCAGAGTCGGGCACATTCTTCCAAGTCCCACGCAGGATCTGCCTCTGGGGCTCTGGGACATGGTACCAGGTGTCCAGAGCAGGATCCCAGAGCCCACCAGCCTCACATCCCTTTGTCCAGAAATCCTGATCCCTTCAGCCATAACCAGGCAGGATTTGCTGGGCCATCCCTGCTTTGTGTTACAGCCCCTGGGGGAGGCACAGATGGTGTGTGGAGCAGAGGCTGCCCTGGTGGGACATGGTTCTGACACAACAGGCTCCCCATTTCCCCCTGTGGCCACCCCATGGAGGTGTGTGGGTCAGAGCTGGACCCCACATCCACGTTGCCTTCCTGGCTGCCCATTCAGCTGCTGTGCTGCTGATTAGGGTCAGCACAAAGGACGGAAGTGGCTGATGCAGTGGCCCTGATGCTAGGAGGCTCTGGGTCTGCCCTGAGCTGGGAGCCCATTGAAATGAAGGAAAAGGAGCAGGAAAATGGGGATCAGCCTTAAGGGCCTCATCTGGAGCTTCCTTGTTGAGTCTTTGTGGTGCCAGCTCCCACCCTTCCCCTGCTTCCCACTGTATGGGGTGTGGAACACACAGCCCCACTCGGGGACACTCTTGCACCAGTCCCCAAACCACTGACATGGGATTCCCAAGGCTGCTGCTTCTTACAGATCTGTAATCCTTACAGCCAGCAGCACCTTGGCTGGTGCACACATGCACACACACACACACCTGCACACACACCCACACACACCTGCACGCGCACACACACACACACCTACACACCTGCACACACACACACCTGCACACACACACACACACCTGCATGCACACACACACACCTGCACACACACACACACCTGCACACACACACCTGCACACATACACACACACACACACACCCCCACACACCCCCACACACACACCTGCACACACACACACACCTGCACACACACCCACACACACCTGCACACACACCCACACACACCTGCACACACACACCTGCACACACACCTGCACACACACACACCTGCACACACACACACCCACCCACATACACACACACCCACCCACATACACACACACCCACACACACACACCCACACACACACATGCACACACACCCACACACACCTGCACGCGCACACACACACCTGCACACACCCCCCCCACACACACCTGCACACACACACACCTGCACACACACCTGCACACACACACCTGCACACACACACCCACCCACCCACATACACACACACCCACCCACATACACACACACACACACACACACCTGCACACACACACACACACCTGCACACACACACACACCTGCACACATACACACACACCCACCCACATACACACACAGGCACCCACCCACACACAGCACACACACACCTGCACACACCCACACACACCTGCACACACACACACAGCACACACACACCCACACACACACCCACCTGTGCACACACACACACCCCTGCACGCACACCTGCACACACACCCACACACACACCCACACACACACACCCCCCCACACACACACCTGCACACACACACACACTCATACACCCACACCCACACACACCCACACACCCACACACACACACACTCATACACCCACACCCACACACACCCACACACCCACACACACACACACACACCCACACACACTCACACCCACACCCACCCACCCACACACACACACACACACCTGCACACACACACCCCCACACACACCCACACACACCTGCACACACCCACACACACACACTCACACCCACCCACCCACACACACCCACACCCACCCACACACACACATACACACACCCACACACACTCACACCCACACACTCACACATGTACAGCTGTGGTCAAACAGCCCTGGGGAGGGAGGGGACAGGCCTGTGACAGCCCCAGAGCAGTGGCTCCCACCACGCCAGGGGAAAGTGCTTGTGTGCATCCAACCCTGAGCCACAGCCCTGCTGGCAGCTCCTTCCCTGCTGGGGATGCCCTGCCTCGAGCAGAGGGATGTGACCTGCCAGAGCCTGGTACCCCCCGGGAGGATGCTCTGCTCCCTGATGTGCTGCTCCAGCCTCTGTCCAGCTTTTGGGGGAGGAGGTGGGACTGGTGGTGCTGCTGGTGGGCAGCAGGGACAAGTAGGACTTGGGGTCTTTGTGCGCTGGGACATGCCTGAGCTGCAGGAGCTGTACCTGGGAAACATTTGCTGAAGGAGGTGATGGGAATAGGAGGGCATGCGTGGGAGCCCTGCCTGGTGAGGTTAACACCATGTCCCCAGTGCCCTCCTCATCCTCCTGGTGCTTGTCCTAGTGGCCTCCTCATCGTCCTCATGCCCTGGGGCAGCACTGGTGCTGTTTATACTCAGAGCCAAGTGCTGGGTCAGATCTGGCCCAAAGGAAGTCTGTGTGTCCTGGCTGACCCCTTTCACCCCCAGACACTCCCTCACCAGAGGAAGGGGTGCAGGGACTGCGTAGGTGGGAGGCCAGGGTCCCTCTGCAGCCGCACACGGGCTGGGGAAATGCAGGAGTAAACGTCCCGTGAAATGCTCCATCACTGCCGTGAAATGCTCCATCACTGCGGTCCATGCGGCGCCCCGAGGGCTCGGCCAGCCCGGAGCCCTGCCCCGGCCGTGGGGCACTGGTGAGAGCAGCCCTGGGCTCGCAGGGCAGCCCCCGCAGGCCCCGGTGCGGTCGGTGCTACGTGGCGATGAGGGGCACCTCGCCCGTGGCCATGGGGAACGGGGCGCCGTCCCCGGCGTGGAGCACTCGGTACAGCAGCTCCTCCTTCTCCCGGCGAGCCTGGTCCAGCAGCTGCGCCTCCTTCTCCAGAGCCCCGCGGGCCGCCTGGAGCTCCTCGGAGAGCTGCCTGCGGGCAGAGGGCACTGGCTGGGGGCACAGACAGAGGGCACGGGCTGGGGGTACGGGCTGGGGGCACCGGCTGGGGGCACAGAGGGCACAGGCTGGGGGCACAGGCTGAGGGCACGGGCTGGGGGCACGGGCTGGGGGCACAGAGGGCACAGGCTGGGGGCACAGGCTGAGGGCACGGGCAGAGGGCACAGGCTGGGGGCACAGAGGGCACAGACAGAGGGCACAGGCTGAGGGCACAGACAGAGGGCACAGGCTGAGTGCCCACAAGACCCTCTGCTCCCTGCAAAGCAGCCGGTGGCACCGTGGGCTGTGATGTGCTCCTGCAGTGCCACCTGTGTCCCCCACTGGAGATGTCACCTGTGCACCGGGTGGGTGGCACCTACCTCGCCATGACCAAGTGGTTCTGGGTGCGAACTTGCAGGTCCTCGTTCTCCTGCTGGAGAGTTTTCACCTTCTCCTCCAGCAGAAGGTTCCTCTCCTCCTGGAAGGGGGCAGGAGGGTGAGGAGAGAGCTGGGAAGCACTTCTGAGCCCCCTGCCACCCCATTTTGGGTGAAATGCTGGTGTGGTGGCTCCCCCATCTCCCCATTGCTCACCCATCCCCTCCCCATGCCAAGAGAGGAAACGGGCTCCATCCAACTTTGCTCCAGCGGCAGTTTCTGGGCAGAATTTAGGTGGGTAGAGGAGCTGAAAAGAGGAAAGCCCACCTGTCACCCCCCCTTTCAACTCACCACAGTCTCCAGGTGCAGCAGCTTCTTGTCCAGGCCGTGGATGTGCTCGTTCTTCATCTCGATGACGAAGTGCAGGCTCTCCAGCTCCTGCTCCCAGAAGGGGCTGGGGCTCCCGTGCTCCTGCAGGCCATCACTTGTGTCCAAGGGACCTCAACACCTCCCAGGACAGGCTTTGCTCCCCCCTTCAGTGCTCCCCTCTGGTTCCAGCCCCCCTGCCAGGGTCCATCAGAGAGGTCCCTTGGCTCTGGGTCAGCACCCCATAGCAGGTCCCTCCCTGCCACCCTCCCTGCACCTGGATGTGCTTCTTGTAGTCTGTTCTCAGGAGTGACTCCTCCACCCGCTTCATCCTGTCCTGGAAGGATTTCAGCTGGGAATTCAGTGCCTGAATTTTCTCCTAGGAGAACCAGGGAAAAAGCAGAATGAGAGGTATCTGGGATTTCTTTCTGAGCCAGGGGACTGCTGGGTTGTGGTACCCAAATAACACCATGGCTGGAGGAGCTGGTGCAGTGCCCAAGCACACCAGGGAATGAGGTGGGCACTGAAGAATGTGGGGCACCATGGCAGAACCAGCAGATGGTCCTCAAGCCCTCCACAAGCTCCCCCTCCCCAGGGATTTCCCTGCTGGTACCTGTAAGGCTGCCTCAGCCCTGTGGTGGGACTCTGTCAGCTGCAGCTTCTCCTGCTCATGTGCTCCCTGGAGCTCTGTGGGGGAACATGAGCTGAGTGCCACCAGTGTGGGGACATTGGGGCCCCAGCTGAGCCCCACAGAGGTGGAGAGCAGGGAACAGAGTCCCCATGGCCCATAGGCAGCCAAAGGGACACGGCAGTAGCAGGGAGAGGGAGCTGCAGGGAGCCCCACTGCCCTGGCACACACCTTGCAGGGTTTCTGTGTGCTCTCTCCTCAGGGTATCAAGCTGTTCCTTCAGCTCCAGCTCTTTTCTCTTTTCCACCTGGGAAGCAGTTGGATGAGAAATCTCAGTGTAAGGGATGCAGAGCTTCACTCTTTGGGCTTCCTCACCCTTTCTTAGACCCATCCTTCTCCCAAAACTGGGAGAGCCCAGCATGTGCCACGGAAGAGCAGGCTGGTGACATGCTCCATGCCCAGCTGCTGCCTCCAGCAACACCAGCTCTTCCAGCTCACCTGGATCTCAATGTCCTGAGAGATGCTGGCAGTGCCTGCCTGGCCGGCATCCTGCTCCTCCTCCTCCTCCTGGTCTTGGAGGAATCTCGCACTCTCCGCCCACTCCTCTGGCCGTGCTGCCTTCTCCCCGTGCTCAGGAAGCAGGCAGGCATTGGCTGCAGGACAAACACGGCTGAAGCAGCACCGGCTGCCTCCCCCTGACTGGGCTGCATGCACACCCTGGGCAGCTGAACCTGACAGTGCCGTGGGCCGGGTTCAGCACTGCCCTCCTCCCACTGGAGAAACACCCCCCTCCATCTCTCTGGTCCAAATCGGCCCGAATTGGGATGGTGCTGGCAGGCTCAGAGAGCACACAGAGCTTGTCAGGTCTCCTGTTCTGGGGATGACCCGTCTGACTGAGAGGAGGGGATGCTGTTGTCTCTGGGATGCCCTGTTTGCCCTCCTGCACCAGCATGCACCTACATCCTCCCCATCCTCCCTGGTGCCATGCTGCGGCCTGTCCAGTGCTTCCTTAACATCACACTGAGAAAGCAAAGCAGGGGGAAAACACATTTTTTCCTCACCATTCTGTGTCTTCACGGCCGAGAGCTCCTGGGAAGCCGACCCCCTCTGCTGCTGGGCTTTTAGCTGTCTCTGGCAGAGAGAGAGGGGGCTGGAGCAGGGGGGAACAGAGTGGGGCAGGTGGCTGCAGGCAGAGAACACCCTGCACTGAGCCCCCATCAGCTCTGCTAAAACACAGGTCCTTGGGGAGCAGCGGCCCCTCCCCAGCCCCCTGCCCTCTCCCAGCACTGGGCACCCATGGGTGTGCATGTACTGCCCATCAGGCAGCCTCAAGCTCATGCCAATTCCCTGCATCCCAGACACTTCGCCAGGTAGCATTCAGCTGGAAAAGCTGGGGGATGCCACCCCCACCGATGTGGTGCTGGTGCAAAATGGGCTCCAGCAGCAAAACTTTTGGTGGGGGAGAGCAGGCAGCACTTGGCAGGGTCCCGGCTTTGGCATTCCCTTGCCACCCTCCTCCTGTCCTGGGATGCTGAGCTCAGTCTGGTCCCTGGCACCTTGCAGCGCCCCAAACACGTGCCTCTGCCAGGGCCTTACACAGATGGGGTTTGACACAGCTGGAGCAGGAGTGAGAAATGAAAAGTACCCATAAATCAGAGGCGATAGAGCCCCTGTGCAGGGCTGGCAGCAGGCGGGAGCAGGCGGCCAAGCAATGACCTCAGGAGCGCAGGAATGCGCTGCGCAGCCCCGCACGCTCCCGCTGCTGCCTCGGGGCTGAGATAACCCAGAGCCGGGAGCTGCCTCCAGCAACACAGCTCCGTGGGATGCCTTCCAGCCCTGCATGGGATTAATTTAGTCACTTGGAGGGGAAAAAAAAAAAAAAAAAAAAAAAAAAAGGAGTGGATATATTTTTATCAGTTGCTGAAAGATAGAAGCAAAGCTCGCAGGCTCTCACTGCTCGGCCTCGCTGGCAGAGGGCAAATCTTGTCCCTGATGCCCATCACTGAGATGTGCTTCTGGATACTGGATAGGTGCACGAGGGGTGAGAAAATTCACCTGAAGGGACGGAGCTGCTCTCCAGTCCCCCAGGGCAGAGCTGTCCCTAAAAATCCCGATCGCTAAGGAGAGCAGCCCTGTGCTGGCTGCTCCCCGGCTCGGCCCCGCACAGCGGCGCGGCCAAATCCAGCCCGGATTAGGGAGCCTGGCTTGGGAAAAAGCAAGGGAAAGCAAACAGCCGTGCCTGTCTCCGCCTCCCCTGCAGCCCCCCTTCTGGAGCTGTAGGGAGGCGCAGTTCCAGGGAGCAGGAGAGCTCCGAGCCTCTGGGAAGCCACGGCTTTATCTTCCCTTCTATGGCATGAGCAGCCGCGGCGTTGAACGTGGCCCAGGCGAGGGGGCGAGGAGGCACCCGGCAGTCCGAGTTCACAGGGCTCGTTCTCCTTGTTCATGCAGCTCACCCCGAAAGCGTGGGGTTCCCTGGGATGCTGCTGAATCCTGGCACACCTGACTGCAAAGTGTCCCCAGGAATCCCTGCCTGTCCCCTGACACACCTCATGCCAGTGCGCATCTCCCTGGTATTTACCGTACATCTGTGAGGGGTTTTGAAGGCAGGGGATGGGGGCAAGGGGAGAGATGAACAAGGGTCTGCAGTCCTGAGGGCATCATAGGAGTCACAAAAGGCTTCCTCCCCTAGCCCCACACCCTATATCTTCCCTATAACAAAGCAAAGGCTGTGTAGGAGGACCCTGCTGACACAGGGGAGTGACACCCACCTCAAGGGTTTTGGATGATCTCAGCAGAGGTGAGAGCAGGATGCTGTTACCACCTCCAGGAGGGACCCCAAACCCCCAAACCAAACCACCTCTGCAGCATTTGTCCTGCTCACTGGCATAAGTGATGCCTAAGGACAGAGAGCCCAGGGCTGGTCACCCCCATAGCACAGGCAATGTCCCCAATGTCCCCAGCACACACCCAGGGAACCTTCACTTCTCCCCCACACCCCAAATCCAGCAGGATGGGACCTCAGAGCCCCTCAGCCTCTAAAGGAAGGTGATTTGAGACACCAGCACTGAACTCAGAAATAGGTGAAGCAAGCAACAGGTTCACCAGCATCAACAGACAAATCTAAATACTTGCCCTGAGGCTATGAGTGAGGCACCTTCCTACCTCTAGGAGCAATTAAAATAACATCTAGAGCTAATTTTAGTCATAAGCACTCAATTGTCCTTTGGAATAAAAGCTCCACCTCTGGAATGAACAGCAAAATTTGGCTGAAAGCTCTGAAATATGGAGGGACTTTCCACTGTCACTACCAGAGAAGTTTTGTGGCACCCAAACCTCTGGTATCGCCTGGTGCATTTTGGAGAGCTGGAAAATCATCCTGGAATCCACAGTGTGTGCAAGGAGCAGGTTGGGAATTGCTCCAGCTGGAACAGCTTTGGCCAGGGAAAAATCAGCCTGATACATCCTGCAGGTGGGGGCCATCCACAGAGTAGCTTATTCTGTAAGTTCTTGGAAACCTCTGCCAAAAATACCTTCCAGCTATGAAAAACCAAAAGTATCTACATTCTTAGAACTAAATATTTCTAATAGCCTGGAGCAGAACTGTTTATGGATGGATTAATAGGGATTTCCAACAGGACCTGAGTCATCTCCAAGAGTTCTGGGATGGGGAGCACCAGAGCAGAGCAGCTGGCACAGTGTGGGCAGCCAGGGTGGCTGCAGCCTCTGCTTCAGCTCTTAGCGTGAGGTGGGGTTTTGGACTGTATTTTTCTTCCTCTTTTCCTGTTTTACAAGTACATTAAGCAATTCAACCATGCAACCTAGCAAAGGAAATCACAAAGAGGCAGGAAATGAGTATTTAAATCCTGACTCTGCTCCTGGGTAGGAGGCTTTGCTTTGTGGCTGTGGAGAAGGGGGCCAGGATTTGGTCCATGACTGTAACACCTCCCAGGACCTGCAGCAGATGCTCAGTGCTGCCAGAGCAATGCTGGCACGGGTCCGTGGGACCTGTCTCTAACCCTGCTGCTGTGTTTCCTCCAGTGATGGTGATGGTTGTGTTAGGAGGTGATTATCACCTCTCCTGCAGTCAGATCTGTGCCGCAGACCGTAGGCAAACACTTCACACTGTTGACAGCCCCGAGTTTTGCATTCTGACCCTTCCCTGACTCCTGGTGCTACGTACAGTTCCTAGCACTTCAAAATAAATTCACCCCAGCCCTGGAAGGCGGCCAAGCCTCAGCCCTGACTTTTGGGAAGGCAAATTGGCCTCTCTCACGCCAGGAGTGTGACCAAAGCATGAGCGGTGACTGTGAGTGGCCAAGCAGGGGTGGATGGAGCTGAAGGGGAAGGAAACCCCAGGGGCAGCACCCACAGCTCAGGGCTGGGTTCTCTCTGTGCCTCCCTTATCGCCCTGCTGCCCGCAGACTGGTGCCAGGGAGGGATGAGGCTGCCAAGGCACCTCCCCCAGGGCACACAGTGGCTCCTGGTATGTCATCCACCCACCAGACCCAGCCCAGCACCAGTTCCTCAAGGTCACCTCAAACCTGGGACTGGTTTCAAAAGCCTCTGCAGCCCCCAGCCCCATTAGAGTCCCCAACCCCGTGACCTGCACATGGCCCCGGCTTCTGGCTGGCTTGTCCCTGGGGTCTGAACTCTCCCCTAACCCTAAGCAACCTCAAGGGACCGACTTTGCAAGTCCACTCATCATCAGTGGGAGGTGAAGGTCTCCCATCCTGCCTTTTGGCACTCTGGACATGAGAACATGGGCAGGAGTGGCCCCATGCCTGCCCTTATGCCTTTTAGCCATAATGGGGATTTTAGGTGCTTCTTTCAGAATGACTTTCAGTCACAGCAGCAGGGCTGTTTATGGGTGATGACTGTTGGTGACACAGGGCTGAGCAGAGCTCGAGAGCGGGCAAGCGCAGGAAGGGAGACGTCTGTAGGCAAATGACAAATTTCCGTGTTTCGGTAAATGTGGGGCTCTCAGCACCTGGGGCCTTAGGGCTGTTGTTTCTCCCTGTCCTATGCCTGTTCTTGAGAGCTCTCAGAGTCACAAACCAGCCCAGAAATATCTGATCTTATGACATAGCAAAGAGTGGGATTTTTTCCATGATGTGGAGAAGCGACCAAGCCTGCAAGTGCTGTAAATAAAGGCACTTGTTTGCTGCAAGGCTGTGTGAGCCCTGTGCCTGCTCCCCCTGCACATCCTGTAGTGGGTTCTGTGGTCCCAACTGGGGACTCTCACAGCTGGATCTGCAAAAGGCCACCCGTGCCAGGGGTGTTTCTGCCTTCCCTCCTTCCCCTGCCACCCTCCAGTGATCACAACACCAACAGCAGTAAGCACAGCACATCCGACAGCAAAAACAGCTCCCGAGGTCAGTGGTGAGGCACTGGGGCAGCATGAGCACATCAAATAATAACAATAACAATGATAATAACAATCAGCAGATAATTTCAGACCTTGCTGAGGAGCTCTTCAGTACAGAGCAACGAGCTGAGACTGAGGGGACTCAGAGTGTTCCCCTACAGGAGCGATGCCTTCAGCACAAGGGGACACAGCCTTTGGGACGAGGGAGGATGCTGTGGGAAGCTGGCAGAGGTCTAGCTGGGGGAATCCATCCCTGTCATCTATGGGACCAGCATTTCCAGCGGGCATCATCCTCCCAGATCCTGCACCCCCTTAACTATAAAATTCCCATGATGTCGGGGTGAGCCCGGAGGGGTGCAGGAGAGTACAGGAGGATGCAGGAGGGCGGGTGGCTGCCAGCTTTCATTGTCCCCGCTGCCACCTCCCCCACCACAATGCCGGTAGGGTCCCAGGCAGCTGGCGACAGCCACACCGCCCGGCACCACCGCTCCCGGGACAGGGAGGAACCCACGCCGGGTGCTCCCAGCACCCCTCGTCCCCAGCAGTGCAAGCAGGATCCCCGCAAACATCAGCCCCACGCGAACCCCAACTCCATCGAACCCCGACACCGTGTGCACTGGATCCCACGAGAGCCCGACCCCACGGAGCCCCGACCCCGAGAGGAGCCCAGCCCAAGCCCAGCTCAGCCCAGCCCCAAAAGCCCCCGCAGCCGCTACCTCGGCACCGACGGGGCAGCAGCGCAGGGCGCTGCCGGTGCAGCCCATGGAGCCCCGGCGGGACCCGCTCAGCCGCGGGGCGCGGGGCGCGGCATCCCCCGGCGAGCGGCACCGCTTCGGGACGGGACGGGACGGGATGAGCCGCCCCAGCTGGCAGGCAGAAAAAAAATAATTAAAAAAAAAAAAAAAAAAAAAAAAAGTAATAAAAACGTCCGGCAGCTGCTGACAGGCAGCGCCGGGAGAGGGTGCTCTGCACCCCCGAGCCGCGGGCAGGGCCCCCGGCCGCAGCCTGCCCGCCCCCGGGGCTGGCCCTGGGCCCCTCCACCCCGGGGTGTCCCCGCCCTGGGCCGGGGTGCCTCGGGAATGCTCCGGCCCACGGGCCCCCTGCACTGAGGATGCCCCGTTGTGGGTGTGGGATTGGGAGAGCCGGACCCCTGCATTGGCGGTGTCCTCTCCTGGACCAGGAGAAAGGGGAACAAGAGCCCTGCACCAGGGCTAGGTGGGAGCAGGACCAGCTGCTCAGGGGGCTTCCACTGCTGAACCCACCCCAGCCCCCTTAGGAGTAGGGATGAGAGCAAGAAAGCAAAATCCATCTGGCTTTTACCATCACCCCATCAAGTTTCAGCTTGTGTGGGGGTACTTGTGGACAAGTGGTGGGTTTGGGGTGTTACTCCTGGCAGGAGCTCTGCTCTGAGGGTCGTTGTGCTGGCTGGAGAGGGTTTTGTGTGATCCATATTGCCTGAGGAACTGCATCCTGTCAACTCTTCCCTTGAGCATCCCAAACACCCCAAATGCTGGGCCTGGAGCCAGGGTGTCCTTTTCCAGGGAGAAATCCTACACTATGGAAATGGGTCCTGAACACATAGGGAAATACATGGATTTGAAAATGTCCCATCTAAAAAGTAATGTGAGGAAAGGTAGGTTCTTCCAAATGTTTTGATTTTGATGATTTTTTTAAAATGCTTTTTTAAAATTATATTTTTATACATTCCTGAATGACCACACATTTTGACCTGAAAACCCATTGGTGCTACCCAGAACTACTGAAATCGGAGTGTTTGAACCTGGTCACGAGGCCGTGCCTGTATGGAAACATTGCAAGTTTTTTGTCAACAAGTTTCTATTCTGACATTTTCCAAATATCCCCTGGGAGAAGTCCAAGCAGCCTGCGGCTCTGGGGATGCCAACACCTTGGCATTTCGCCTGGGCAGCGAGGGAGTGGAGGTGCCTGGTCGTCCTGTCACGTTCGACTTGGAGGTGTTTTTCTTGCCCTGGTAACCCTGGCACGGGAGGAAATTGTGAAACACCCACTTGGATGGGAGGGTGGGGAAGGTGAGGGGCAGGCCCACGCTGCCCCAAGTCTCCCAGGGACTGGTGGGACCAGTTGCCTGCGTCCTCTTGGGTGGGTGCTGCCAAACCTGAGTGAAATTTTGTGAGTCACAGAAGCTTCTGGCATCTTCTCCCACTGCTCAGAAACCACCGAGAGCAAGCTCTCAGTTCTTATCTCTTCCAGCACTTCAGCATGGGGCAAGTCTCCTTCCCTGCATGAGAGTACTCATTTGGGCTGAGTAGATCGTTTGTGGGATAAAAGTACAAGGTGCTGTTCTCCACCTCTCCAGGGTTAATTAAAAATCCCGGTCCAGACTTCAGAGACTGAAGGCCTACAGGGGCAAGCACAAAGCACATGCAGATTTCCAGGCTGAATTTGCATCACTGGAGCCGTGGCTGCAAAGAGAAGCAACTGTGTGGGCAGCTGATGAGGAGCCTGTCCAGCTGCCATCACGTCTTGCTGGTGCACAAAGGTCCAGTAGTTTGCACGTGTGCTTGTGGAAATTTCAGCTTTTAACTGTGGGGTGATGAGGGAGTGCTTGGGGATGCTCCCATGCCACAAAGTGGGGCTCCTGGTAGGATTTCTCTTGACAATGGTGGAGAAAAAGCAGTTTGGTCACATCAGGCTAAGGCATTGAGCCAGCAGGACAGAGCTGGGGCTTGGGGATGGGCCTGTGCAGCAAGGCCAGCTCCAGCATCCCCATCCCCAGCCTCTGCTGCAGGCTCTGCTGTGACAGCCCTGTGCTTCTAGAGATCGCTGCCTTTTGGAGACACGACTGCCCAGACCATATTATATCTTTCCTTCAGCCTGTGGGTGCACTTGTGAGGCTGCCTGCCAAAAGCCCTGCCTGTGCTACCCCAAACCTCTCTTATTCTAGCTTGATTTTAGCAATTCCTCAGTTTCTCCAATGTTTCCTGTGGAAACTTCATGGGATATGTGCCTGCCAGACTGGTCTTTCATCTCAGCCCTTCTTTATCCTCCTCTGCCCCAATACATTGAAAACTTGCTCCCTTTTAAAGGGCAGCACTTTAACAGCCAGAAACTGCTCTGTTCAGCTGCTTTTGAGCTGGGGCTGATAGGGGCATCATAGGGGTAACCAGAGCACCTCGGGGATCTGGGGAGCACAAGGGCCTGGAGTCTGTATGAGACAGCCTGGAGAAAAAGGAGACTGTGGGAAAGAGGGAATTTCTGCCCAGGCAAAAGCAGAAAAGCAGAGGTGGTGTGGTGCCCCACCTGAGGCAGCTTCAGCTCGTTTTGAAGTTTGCTCTAATGTCTTTTTTTGGTGTTATCTTGATCTCCCCCCAGGAATGACAGCAGCTGGAGACATCTCCAGGGCTGTGTCTAGAAAAGTGAGACGAGGAGGCTTTATCACATGCTCGGCTGAATTGCCGTAAATGGGATAACAGCTGGAAAGTCGAGTTAATTTGTACCAATGGTCATTTAAAGTGTTTGCCAAAGCTTTTGGATAAGAAAAGCATTTGTGCAAACTGTTGAAGTGTCTCTTTTGGCTCTCTCTCTGGTTCTAGCTGGTAAGGACTGGGCACAACAGGATGGGCACAAGGCAGTGTCAGTGCCAGCCTGGCATGGTCTGTTTGCAGAGTGGTTCTGTGAGTGCAGATGGGGTCATTCCTTTTTTTTTTTTCTTGTTTGTATATCTTATTTTCAGAAACCTAGTCTGGAAAAAAGAAAAAAAAGAGAGAGGTGGAGGATATTTTGCTGGAAGGTTTTTGGGTGATGAGCTGGCATGTGGTGATGCCTGATGGCTCCTGGTAGAGCCGCAGCCCAAGCAGTAGACACAGAGTGGTCGTGGTTACACCCTGCTCATCATTTGCAGTCTGTTTGCTTTTGTAAATGAGAGCTAATGAAATTCTGGCTGCTTTTCTTCAATGCAAATCTGAGGTGTATAGCCAGGCCTGCTGAGACCTCGTGACTTGCACTCAATTTTGTATGGGTGAGATAGCTGAATTGGAGAAGTTCTCACATGTGTTGGAGCCCAAAAAAAGTCACAGGCTCTTTTAGTGGGGATTTAGGTCACACATGATTCTGCCTTGAGGTAGTGAAATGATTTCAAGTCATTCCTGTCCCTGCTTTTTTCCAAGCAAAAAGATGTGGGTTAACCTGTTCTCAGAGTCCTTTATTCTCTTTTTTCCCCCATGGCAAAATGAAATGGAAAAGGATGGGAATAGGGAAGTGAAACCTTCACTCACAATGGTGAGAAGCAGAAAAGCCTGCGATGCCAGGGGCTCGAGGTGAGGGGCTCTGCTCCCCTCCCAGCCCCAAACACAATGCTCCTTCTGTGCCCGTGCCTCTCCCCTTGCATCCCTCTCCTTATCCCTGTCCTCCGGCTGCTCCAGGGCCTCAAAGTGAAAGCTAATCCCAGGGGATAACTTTCCGCTCCGTTCCCGGCTGGGAGGTGCGGGCTATTTATTCCTCACCCTTAAGCCTCGGCAGTGGACCAGCGGCGCAGTTGTCGCTGCCGGCTCGGGGTGGGCAGCAGCATCCACCGCGTCCCCTGCCTGCTCCCACGCCCTGCCTGCACGCTGCCGCCCGGCCTCGCTGCTAAATAAGGACGAAAGGCTAAAAATAGAGCTGAGACGGGGGTTTGGACAAGCCAGGCAACCCTTCCCAGGGCTGGGAACAATATGGGGAGGCCGAGCGGTGTCCGTGTGCAAGGGAGAGCAGAGCTGAATGTGGGGAAGGGTCTCACAAGTGGCTCTTGACTGTGCTGTGGCAGGGGGGAAGGTGTGAGACCTGCCACACTCACACTTGTGTCATGTGTGCTCAGCTGGCTCAGTCCCCTCTGCAGGGTAAAAGCATCTGTCCACCAAAATATATGGGAAAATCCATGCTACTGTGCCACTCCTGATGGAGGGGTACCCGTGTGACCATTCCAGCATGATGGGGGTGCCTGGGGCAGCTCTGTCTGGAAAATGATCTGCAAACAGGGGGTAGGAATGGAAGAGGGGATGATAAATCCAGCATTTTACATAGATGGATGGTAGGGGTACTGTGGCAAACTGCCCAGTCAGGGGCTACCCGATGCCAGCGTCGCCTCCCCCCTGTTCATACACATCGGGTTTGAGGGTCTCAAATATCTGAAATATCTCAAATACCTCTGCTCTTCAGCTGCCGCCTGCGCTGTGCCGAGCGCGGGGGGAGCGTGGGGTCCCGGGCACTGCCCAGCAGAGGGTACGGACCCTCGCACAGCCGGGGCACCCCCGAGCGGGATGCGCGGGGAGCCGCAGCCCTGGCTGGAGGGGTGGGTGCTGGGGAGATGGTCGTGCTTCCCCCATGGCAGCGGGGTGATGCGTGTGCCCCGGGATGGTGGGTGCAGCTCCTGCCCCTCTGGGATCTTGGGAAAGCGGCGCTTCCCGTCCCAGCATCCCTGCGAGTCCAGTCCTGCTCTTGGCAGCGAAACTGGGAAAGGGAGGGAAAAAAAAAAAAAAAAAAAAAAAGCAAAAGGGGAAGGGAAAATGTGAACGTCCTCGGGGGAGGGAGGGGAATCGGACGGTGGGCCGGGCTCCGAGAGAGGGCTCGTCCCCTCTGCTCAGGGCTTCAAAGACCGGCCGCTGCCAGCCCGGTCCCGGCGAGGTGCCTGCCCTCCGCTCGGAGCAGCTCCCCAGACGCATCCCGGCCCGTTCCCGGCGCATTCCCGGAGGATGCTGTGCGCGGGGCTGGCGCTGGCGCTGTGCGCGCTGCAGCTCGTCCCGGCCGCGCTGGCCGGGCCGCAGCCGCCGCTGCTGGTGGAGCGCAGC